CTTGTGACACAATGAACTGTCTCCGTATGTCCTTTAGAAGGAGGTAGGACGACTGACTGGCCAAGACCTAATTTCAGATGAATTAGCAAACTTTTAAGGAGTCAAGGAGTGACATGACATAAAACAATGGCATCACCATGTTTACTGACTGTAAACATGGAAACTGAAGCCACTTTGCAAAGAGAAGCCATTGCCTTCACTCACACAGAGCCACGCCACTTACACACCCCTCGTTCCTCTGTTCCCTCCTCCCTTCCCTCTTCCCCTTCCTCTGTCTCCATCCCTTCCCAAGTCCCATCCTCACGTCCTTTATCTTCCCGCCCTCTTCACCCTGTCACTCTTCACTCCTTGGTCTTAAGGTGAACTTAAATGAGAGAAGCTGCTGCTTTTGTCTCCGTGTTTACAGCTGGATCTGCCAGGCCACTAAATCATCCTTGATTATCTTTGAGTGAATGAATGATTGCCATAAGAACATTCCAAGTGTCGTAGAGAAATTAAGTCAGTTTTCAGCCTGTGTTGGTCAGGGTTTTCTAGAGGAACAGAACTGATAGGATTAATCTATCTGTCTGTCTGTTGGTCTGTCTGTCTAAAGGGGGATTTATTAGAGTGTCTTACTGGCTGTGGTCCAGCTAGTTCAACAATGACTTACCATCAGAAAGTCCAAGTATCCATACTTGTTAGGTCCACAATGCTGGATGTCTTAACGGGATTTCAGGCTCTAATGCCAGTGAGGATTGGAGTTTCTGGTGAGAGCCAGAGCAAGCAGGCAGAGAACAAGCTTCCTTCTTCTATGTCCTACAGATAGGCTGCCAGCAGAAGGTGTGGTCCAGATTAAAGGTGGGTTTTTCCACCTCAGAAAAACTATATTAAAAGAAGGTCTTCCTATCTCAAAAGATCCGGATTAAGGGAAACCAGGGGCGGGGAGTGGGAGTGGGTTGGGGGAGAGGGGAGGTGGGTGGAATCTAGTAGAAGTGGAGGGAGGAGAAACTGTGGTTGGGATATATTATATGAGAGAAGAATCTATTTTCAATGAAGAAAAAAAGTCCCTCACAACTGTATCCAGTAGCTAGGGTTTGAGTTAATTCCAAATGTAGTCATATTGACAACCAAGAATAGCCACCACCCAGTCTAACAGTTAAAAGAATTTCCAATACACGGCAGTGTTTCTGAGATGCTGCTGGTCTGGGAATGAGTTCATCCTGACAACAGAGCAGTAACAGGAGGCCTTGGGTTAGTTATATGCAAACTAGAAAGCTCTGTTGCCACACTGCGAGGATTGAACTGTGAGAAAACACACACTGCTTCATCTGTAACTTAGATCTATATGTTTCCAGAAAAAAAATCCCCATTCAAAATGAAACAAAAACACAAACTCAGTCTTCCTTCTTTACACCATTTCAAGGCACTTGACAGAAGACATCCCGAACATAAGCCAGTTGTCTAACCAACAGGAGAGACATATTTCTAGAAACAAAGTTGATTCCAATTTTTTTGAAAAGTGTATTTTCTCCATGTCAGAACTGAGAGCAGGTGCTGCCTTCTGATTAATTAAGTCACAAGATGTTCCTCATGCTAAAGTCTGAGAAAGGAAGTAGAAACGAAGCTGAGGTTTGCATGGTTGTGAGTTCTTCTATTCATTCATTTACCTATCTATGTATTTATGTATCTACGTTTTCTCTATTTAATATCTATCTATCTATCTATCTATCTATCTATCTATCTATCTATCTATCTATCTATCTGAAATGACCCAGAATTCCACATGCCGCATGCTCTGCTTGCTAGCTTGTCTTCTAGACCATTGAGGGCAGTGGGAGTTTTTTGTGTGTAAATTTTGCAAAGGACAACAGCTTGAAACAGTTTCAAGTTTCTACTAATCACTTCTTAAGGAGACTATTAAAAAGAGCTATTGACCCCATTTTTGCCAGGTCATTTGTCAGCTGTGTTACAGGGAGATGTGGGATTTCTAGGCAACCATTATCTCCGTCAATGAAGCTACTTAGCAAGCCAAACAGGATTTCTATGGCCCTACTAGGTGTGGTAGAAGAACCAGGAGCCTTTGTTCCTTATTGTTACCCTGGTACAATCTTCAAGGACTATTTTCTAAGTTCCCTATCTGAGTTAAATCCCCACACTCTTGTAGGAATTCACTGCACCTGCTGTACTTGTTTAAACACAACTCTGAGCTGCAGGAAGTGTGGATCGGCCTTGGTTAGTGTTAAGTTAATGTTTCGAGTGTAAAAACGTCAAAATTTTTAACGAAGCTATTGAATTACCAGTTCCACCAAGTAACTCCCTAATGCTTTTAGTAACCCACTTGAGAGGAAGGAGGGGAGCACCTGAGTGGACCCCACCTCCTCCTGTGGCTCATGCCAACTTGGAACACATGGGCTCATCAGTTCCATCAGCCAGCAGCCTCTCAGCTCCTGTGAAGGAAGCCTGCAATATCCTCAACAGTGCACTGGAATGTGGGTAAAGAAGTCATGCTATCTCATCTGTTACTCCATGTTTCTTGTTGATGTAAAATAATTACTTCATTAAGAGCTAGATGTCCTTACATACAACTGCCCCCAGAAGAACTTACCTCTCCTTCCTTCCTTCCTTCCTTCCTTCCTTCTTCCTTCCTTTCTTTTTGTAAACAGAGAAGGCCCATGAAGTGATGCAGTCTCTGTAGTTTGTTTTTAAACCCCTTTCCAACCACTTTCCACATGCTCCAGACCTGAGCACTAAGTGGTGGCTTACAAGATATACAAACCAAAGAGTGATTAGAATACAGAGACTTGGAGTGTCAGATATGTGAATAACCTAGATTTTGGTTTGTCAGTTACTGAAACTGAGATTATATTTTCAAAGCTCAAATATTGGCAATTTATTTAATTGAGCTGCTTTGATAAGTTTTTTTTTTTTTGAGCCAGAGTCTCACTATGTAGACCACTCTAGCCTCGAACTCGGAGAGATCTGCCTGTCTCTGCCTACCCAGCGAAAGGAATAAAGGTATGTGCCACCATGCCCAGCTGCTTTAAAATATTATATCTCATAACTTTAGGGAAAATGTTGTTGCTGTGAATATGCCTGTGTAATTTAGTTATTAACACCACCGCTCACCCAACTCCAATTTATGGGGTCTCTGAACCTTTCCTGACATTTGAATTCTTCCAAGTTTTATGTAAAAGATGTTGAACCTCTGTTATATGCAGTAGCAGCTGCTCCTACAGATCATGGTTCACGATTCACCTGGATACTCTTCACTCCAAAGTATCCATTAGCATTCATTACTCACTCCTGTCATAAGCACATTAGATAAGGCTGTGAGTTATACGGATCACAGGCCAGGTAAAGTGTAAACTGAATGACAGGGCTGGGATTGATTGGGGGTTGTGTACACGGGGATTTGCCTGGGGCTGTTAATACCATGTAATCAGCAAGATGGTACCTCCCTCAAGTTCTCAGCCAATGGGAAGAGGGAGCAGAGAATTGTGATTAGGGCTTTAGTAGAGCTGGTGCCCAACCATGCAGGATGCTAGAATAAACTGACCTGATGATACTACTGAGTCCCCAGAGCTCTTACTGTGAAGTGAGGATCTTAGTTCTGACAATATAAAACACAAGATGGGTGTTAGGCCAGAGAGACTGTTGCTGAGGATGGGTATCTTGTTCTTGGAGTGGGTGGTGCTTCTAGAGGAGGGCATTGACGCTGTCTATTTATTTCCCGACTCCTCGGGTTTGCTTGCCAGTTTGGTATATGGATTCCTACACACATTCTGGAGTCTGGAGTCATCTGGTGAAAGTGTCTGTGAGCAGGGAGGCATCCACACACTTCTTAGGGATAAAGGACATCTGTCCGGTACTTGGACATCTTAGATGAACTATCCTTGGAATTGCGTTCTTTTACTGTCCTCACATTCCGATAGCTGAAGTGAGTGTTTATTTCCTGCTATGTGCGGGTAGTATAGAAAGTGTAGGTATTCTGACCTGTTGCATTCTTGACATTGTAATCTCTGGCTTGGTGCTTGCAGCTTCTGTTTCCCTTGCATAATTGAATTCAGGACAAACATCCAAAGGGTGAGAAAATGAATTAGAGGGAAATCAGACATGTTAGTGTGCCCCACTTTTTGTTGGAGGCAAGGTTTGGTGATGCATTCCCAGAACCGCAGTGATAAACGTATTTCTCAGTAGCCTATTAAACCAAGAGGGATCCTTGCCATGATTTGATGTTTTGTTTGACCCTTTACATAGTTCCAATTTATCTGTAGTTTGTTAATGAGTATTTTAGTGTGTGTGTATGCACACACACACATGTCTGTGTGCATGTGTATGGGTATCTGCATGTAAATTCAGTACCTGAGTTGGGTAAAGGAGGGTATCAGGTCCTTTGAAGCTAGAGTTACAGACAGCTGTGAGACATCCATTTGGGTGCTGGTCATCAAACTTGGGTCCTCCATAAGATCAAGTTCTTAACTGCTCGGCCATCTCTCCAGCCCCAACATTCCAGTTTAGTTTGTTGTGACCAGAGATAGGCAGACTTAGGGAAGAGGGCTTAAGTCCCTCTTGTGGAATGGCCTCATTTGCGTATTGTAGTATCCATAGACCAGGTTTTGTTTAGAAAGCAAGATATGTAAAGAGATTTTATTTAGATGCTCTAAGGGGTGTTGCCTTATACTCATGTTTCTTAAGAAACCAGGTGATCTCCTACAGGCATTTGGCTTGTCAGTTTGCACGACTGTTGGATTTTATCCCCAGACTTTACCCAGGGACTTGTGCCACTGCAAGTAAAAAGTCTATAGAATAATATATCTCCAAAAATGATTTTTGGACAGATGACATGCATATTGTCAGACCTTTAGGGAATCATAATAGATTCAGTGTGGAGCCCTTGAGAGCCAAAGCATCCAAGATCTCATACCGTGTTAGTATGCAGTGCAGGACAGATGCGAGACCATGGGGCAGTAGCCTGAGCTACCATGTATTCATTTCTCTAAAACTAAAAGAGTTTAAAATGAGTCAAATACATATTTTAATTGATAAACTGACTTTATATTCACCTATTGGAAACAGTACAACATATTTTACATCAGATTATGAAATATGGATTTTTACTAAAGACAGGAAGGGTGTTTTCCAGTCTTTAAAGTAAGTACATTTCAGAGGATCTTAAGGCAATACCATTTATCCATATTCATATCTATTGAAATACTGTACACCCACACACTTCAATAAATAGTTAGAAACCTGACCTCTTTTTTAAATCATTTCTGGATTTCAAAGAAAAAAACACAATTTTTTTTATTGAAAAGATTAAATAGGTAACTTTCAGCTGTGTTACAAAGCTAAGCACAATGGGTAAATTAACAATTATTCAGTAATTTGACCAATATCATTGATTGATTTTGATAGTTCAGTTGCTCAGAGTGTTCAGACTTCACAGATTGGGGTACTTGTCTATATATGTGCAGTTTTGTCCTGAATTATCTGGGTACTTCTTTGCTCTCCAGTCTACTTTTTAGACATAGCATAACTATTATGAGAAGATAATTTTTCAGTCAAGTTATGAACCTCAAAATGACTTTATATTTGAAATACTCTCCGTCAAATCTCAGTGTCTGCACAAAGAACTCAGTAATCTGGCCTGGGCAGTACTGATCACTAAGCGAATTCTGACCAGCAGGATCTCGGGGCATAACAAGACTAAGGTTTGTAATACGGTCATTGGGAAAAAAATTAGGCCATCTTCAGTTAAACCAAGAAGGCAGACCAACAGGTTCATCATCATCAGAACAATTTGGCTCTCCCTCGCTCCCCCTCCTGTCTCTTCCCTTCTTTCAGTCTTTTTTGTTCCTTATCTCCCACTATTTTTTCTTCTTCTTCTCCTCCTTCTTCTTTCTCAATCACAATTTTCTTTCCTTCTTCCTTTGAAAATTTGGGGGCAACAAAAGGAATCCCACAGATGGGTATTGTGGAAAACACAATGCTCAAGTGAACAGCTAAAAAACCGTATAGATTAAAAGATAAATTAACTTCGTAAAACTGCTGTTCTGAAATTGCAACAATCTTGTACAGTCAGGACTGATAAAATGGAGCAATCAGACATTTCAGATGCCTGTAAATGTAAAACCACCTACTTGAACATTATATGCAATACATCCACACAAAAAGCAAATACTGTAGCCTTATTTGAACAATACTGAACTCATAAATACTCATGACTTCACTCTGTCCAGGAGCCTAAGGACTATGCCGCTGTAACACAGAAAAACATAGTGGATGCCTCCTCTATTAAAATGTCACTCAAGAAAGTCTTTTCTAACAAAAAGGCAAATACATGTAGCTACTGAGCTATGACTGTCCTTTGTCACACTCTATGGGGAAAACACCGGACTCCACGAATTCGGAATCATGACGACACTTAGAACTAGTTATTTGGTTCATCTGTATTTTATACCTCAGTTTACCTCACATGTACCCTACACACCTTACAAAGAGGAGGCATTTTTATCTCTAGGGAAACGGTCACTGTATAATACGCATTCTCCATCTTTCTGTCTCCCCGCACAGTGGTGCAGGTGGCCAACACTCCGTGGTAGCACCGCTGTCTTAAGAAGTAGGTTACTGTGGATTGTGCTACGTTAAAGCTGCAATACAAAGAAAGCATTTGCTGCTTGCTCACTAATTCCACAAAGAACATTTTTTTAGTAGCAAATCAGCTAGAAATTTAAACGCCATATTTTTCAAAACTCACTTTTAATATACCAGTCGAAATGACATGAATTTATTACAGCTACTAAATTTAATTGCAGAATGCCACATTATTGCCATTTCATGGGAAGACTGTATATTTATGTCCCCTCACTTATGATTCATTTTCCTAACTAAAACAGATTTATGGTGCCTTTTAGGGTCTAAATTTTATTTAGAAAAAATAATCACCATTTTAAAGCCATCCTTCTAGGGCAAAACATGAACTATCTAAAATAATCACTGTGAAATTTCTTGCACGTGGTTTTGAGAGTAGGTCTATAGTCAGTGTGTGCAGAAGGTCACCGTAGAAACTTCGGCGTGCTGAAACTAGCACCTTCACCAGATCTGAAAAATGGCTTTCAAGGCTCTGGCCTTCCTTTGGTCAAAAGCAAGACCATGAGCCTATTCCTGTAATATAATAGTTAGACTAACAGCATTTTCCTCCAAAAATGTAATTTTGTTCTTTAAATAGAAAAAATGTAATATTCACAATCATCCAGTGGCTAACATATCCCATGATGCCCTCCTTCTGGTGTGTCCATCTGGTCACATCTCACGTGTGTCTCACAGGATGCAGGCGGGCATGGTTATGTCCTCAGTTTTAGCATCTGTTTGAACGGAAATGACTACCAAGATTTTGGTGAAGAATTAGATTCTTCAGGGCTGATCTGTTTTGCACCAAATGTACAGTATGTGTTAAAATGCATCTTGGAGTTTTAAAGAACAGAACATGCATTTCTATCAGCCGAATGACAGAAAATCAGGTGGAAAATTAGGGTCTCTGTCATCCTAACTTACTGATGTCAAAACCAGATTGATTTGAGCATTCACCACCCCGCATTAGTGGGTGATAGGACCGCAGGTCCATGTGGAGAAGCTGTCTTGGGACATCAGCTTGCCTTGGTGCAGAAGATTGTTGCATTACTAGGGGCTTTTGAACAGGCTGTGCTGTCCTTTGACAGCTCAGACTTTCCCACAGTGGCCCTAACGTTTTGCCTCAACTTCAACTATGCTGTTTCATCAAGAAAATTGAGATGCTGTGGGCAAAGTTCTCAGGCTTAGCTTATCGGTGTAATTTACTTTTGCTTCCAAATTGCAAGGTTTAGGAAAACGTTATGTGTTTGTCAGAAACAAAGAGAGGATTATTTTGTGAAGGCACACCCATGCTGAACTTAGAAGGAGAAGCACAGCGAGTTATATTACAAGGCTCATTTCCAAAACCTGGATGTCATGCGAGCAGGGACATCTAGATATGTGTTATATTTTGAAGAAATGATTTGAAGGCAATATTACTTGATTTTTTTATCAAAAAAAGAAAAAAAATGCATCTTTGTAAATGTGGGTTGACTCTTATTGAAATTGGGCACTGAACCCTTGTATTGCGGCCTTAAAGAATTGTGTGTTCACTGCAATATTTGTCATGTAAACTACAGCCGGAAGCCTGGCAGACCACGACTGAACGCTTTTGAAAAGTTGTAGATTACAAACATGAAATCACAATTAATATCCTCTAAAAGTAAGTTCAGAGCTTTCACATCTTAAAAAAGGACAATGTGCAGTGCTTCACAAGGTCGTGTGTCTAATCAAAAGGAGAGGAGAATGAAAGTATTTACACAACCAGGGATTGCACAGACGGCGTCACCCTCGTAAAGACAGCCGATTGTATCCCACGCTGCGTCCAGCCAACCGCACCAGATTGGATCCAGCATCAGCACTCTCGGAGACTCCTTAAAAGCCTTTCGTGGGTCTTTAAACTCACTGTAGGACGGCGTTCTTTAGGTAGGATATACTGATGACCGAGGACAGTGTCAACACAAGGCTCCAGCAGGAGAAGAGGTCGCAGGCGCTCCCAGTAATTCCATACTGAGCTGTGCTTGGAGCTGAAAAGGAATGGAAAATATTCAGTCAACGATAGCTCTCCTCCTCTGGTGTTCTTGACCATTGCCAAAAAGCAGTGAATGTTTTGGGGGTGGTGCTGGGCAGAAAGGGTTAGGCTCACAGGGCCTGTTTGGATTAGCCTCTTGAGGTTCCCTTTCTCAAGGACTGAAGAGTAATGATATAGTCCACCTGGTAGAGCTGTGGTGTGAACAGGAGATGAAACACACCACACTGGTGTAAACCAGAGATGAAGCACATCACACTGGACCAGAACGCTGCTGGACCCAACCAAAGCTAATTGACACTCTTACTCCTCTTACATGTACTGTATTTGTATTTATGGGCAATGTTCACTTATGCATTTATCTCAAGAGGCATTCATCCATCAGCCAAATGCTACCATTAAATGCTAGAAAAACAAAAACAAGCAAATAAACAGAACAGATTCTCCTTCCAAAGACTTTGTTTTTACATGTGTACACACATAAAGACACTTAAAAACTGTAAATATTATTACAATACGATGCAATATTAGGATTGCATATGCAGAGTCTACTGATAGACTTTGAAGTATCTTATGAAGCTGCGTGGGCAAGGAGAGTTGCTTTTTAAAAGTTTTATCAAAGGGAACTGCTCTTTGGGTGTAGTAAGTAACATCCTAACACTATGAAGAAAGAGACTATGTCAAGAAGCTGGAGTCTCGACATAGGTAAGTCTTGCTGGGCCATGAAGTTCAAGGCCTGAAGGAGGTGGGTTTGGAAATGCAGCTCCAGGCAAGGTAATAGGGCCCATGATGACACATCTCAGCACAACTGAATGCACACATTAGAAATGGATAGGTTGCATGGGTATATTAGGAAGCATAGCGTGACACACAAGCCCCGAAGAGCCACCAGGCTTAAGGCATAACTGTTGTCTGCCAAGCAGGTCCACTGCAGCTCCCAGGAAGGACGTTGTTGTTGGAAGGATGTGTGGATCATGCTCTTCTTGAAACGGCTTCATAAGTGCTTGGACTGGCTTGGGACTAATTCTTGTTCATCACCATATAATAGGAGAACGTGTCTGCCAGCTTGCTTCTAACTGCCTTCTGATAATGAAAGCAGCATTACAAAGTCCTACGTTCTTGTTGAAGTTGAATTCTGTAATAAAGATTGTCTACACTTCATCCCCAAGTCTACATCTCAACCCCAGGAGCAGTCTCCATGGCTCTGAGTTTGGATCGCCAGCAGCACAGTTTGGATGAAATCTTCATAAAGGTCTAGGTTGCCATGGAATGGGAACAATTATGTTCTTATACTTCTAAGAAATTATAGTGGCTGAGGGAGACACTGGCTCCCACAGGGGGAGGGCAATGTGCAGAGTGTTGGTTCTTAGGGACCGAGTACTGGAGGTGTAAGCAGAGAACATGAGGCCAAAGCAGCTACTGAGTTAATCACATCTATTCCAAGCAGATGTTTTTAATGAAAAGAGGAGGAACCCAAGTGTGCTGCTAACAGAGCTTTTCCGTGTGTGAAACTTAAGATAGCTAACATAAAAGTCATGGAAATCCTTATTTTCTCTTGATGAAGATCTAGAAGAGAATCTTAAAGTATCAGTACTTAATTGTCAGCCTACGTGTGAGGTTTTCGTTGTCATTACATATTAAGGAAGGATCCGCAGAGTGTGAATGACGCTCAGAAGGTCTGTTTGTTAACTCGCATATCCAAGTGTTCTTGTCTAACATTTGACCAGCCTTTCTGTGCAGCATCAAATAACATCCTCCACGGGCCCACTATCATTCTTCCTTGAAAATATTTGCTTGTATATTTATTTATAGTATTATTCATATTTCATTTATATTTCTATTGCTCAAAAGAATCTGGGTACATAACAGATGCCCAAGAAATGCTCAATGTGCGGTTTCAGTGTGTACTTTGACCTTACAATGTTTGCTCTCTTCTGAAGTAGGATATGTGTTTATGTCCCAGATCATAAGTGGATGTTCTTCCCTTCATTAATTCAGTATGTTTTAATTGAATCAGGCACCAAAGAAAATATTAAGTGTCTGGGATATAATGGTAGAGGGCTATAGCCACAGTCCTAGGATTAGTTAGTTCTATAAACTCCTATGTACATTTGGTACATCTGCAATGCCATCTTTCTTCCTAGAGCCCCATTTCTTGTTTAGCTTATATTACCTTTTTTTTCTTAAACATGACATGCATTTTTAAATCAAATCGACTAGTTTACAATTAAAACAACATTCTTTTACACACCCTTCATGGCACATAGCAATGCACTTTTTACTTTACTCGTGAATGAAATAGCATGTTTCTCTATAGAATAAAACAGAGGTGGCCTGTCTCCTTGTCTGCAGAATAGCTACAACCAAAAAGGCAAAAATGGAGGACAGTTAGCCAAGGACTTTGAGGCATCATTCCTAACTGTTCATGATGATGTTGCCATTCAAATCTCAAATGTCGCCTTAGATCAAGCCCCAAATCTCTTTCCCTCTCTCTCATGCTAGGATTGACGCACCCAAAAGCAACATGCAGACAAAGATATGTAGACTCAATTCTCTCCTTCAAGAAACAGTGCTTGTTCTGGCACTAGTGAGGTGGCTCAGAGGGCAAAAGTTCTCACTGCCAGGGCTGATGACCCAAGTTCAGACTCTGAGACCCACATGACAGAAGGAGGGAACAGACTCCTGTAAATTGTCTCCTGACCTCCACACTTGTTGTGTGGAATGTGAGTGCACACACACACACACACACACACTGCACACACACACTGCACACACACACTGCACACACACTGCATACACACACTGCACACACACTGCACACACACACTGCACACACACACGGCACACACACACGCTGCACACACACACGCTGCACACACACACACTGCACACACACACTGCACACACATACGCTGCACACACACACACTGCACACACACTGCACACACGCACACGCTGCACACATACAAATATAAAAAAAATCAAGCTTACTGCCGTCACTCATTAATCTTAATACATCTGCATAGAACATACTTAATTTTATTAATAATGAGTGCAGAGGCATACAAGATGCATTCGAGGGGACACTCAGGCTTAGTCTTACATAGACCTGTGCAGGTTAGACTCTTCTCCTAGCAGACCACCTAGTCAATCACACAAGAGGAGACCTGCACATCATAAGAATTTCACTGCAAAAAACAGTGAGTGGGTCACAGAGGGTTGGCACTGACCTGGATTCTGTTGGGTCACCTAGGGTGCTTCTGGTTTAATGAAGGATGCTGCAGCTTACTAAGGAGAGAGGCCAAATGATCAGAGCCTGAGCTGGGCTGTGGAAAGGGCTCTTATTTATGTGAGCAGCCATGTGAGGGGCCATCTGTTAAAAATCATGATTTTATGACTAGGGTTGGCAGGTTTGCTGCAGGAAGAAAGAGTTCAAGGATACTTTGACTTAAAATCTTCATGACTCTCAGTGGGAATTCTCCTGGGGGAAGCCAAAGCTTTCCTTTTTCTCCACCTCCTTTACTTCCACATCTTTCTTCTGATTTTTTTCTTGATGGTAAACAGACAGGGCCTTACTAGGTCTAAGTCAAAGCTGTGGTCCAGGATCAGGACCGTAGGCCTCTTTTCTATGGTTACATCTGGCTCAGACACACACTGAGTGCCTGTCACTCAAGCCTTTTTTTTTTCTGAAGACATGGGCTGTCTTATCACCTCTTGCCGTGTGCACAGGCTGCAGCATTAAGCCTGCACCCTTATGTCCTTCTCATCATGAAATACCAAACGCCGCCTCCTGTTCCCATCAGACTTTCTGCTCAGCTCATACCCTGCCACAGAGCAGGAACATTGCACTTCATTGCTACCCTACATGTGTTAAAACACCATTTAAAAAAAATCCTCTTTATTCTATCATACAAAAATTAGCAACTCTTTGAGTTTGTTTTCTTGGGTTCTTTGGATTTTATTTTAAAACATGCCCATTAGCCTGGCTCACCTCCCCACACTGCAGGTGGGGCACATTCTGCTCTAGATTCCCACTTTGCTATAGATTCCAGCACATGGGGTTTTCAGAGAGCCACCCTGGTATGGGCACTCTCAGGCAGGGAGAGAAGTGTCCAGCTTGCATGGTGTGTGAACTCTGTGTCTTTCCTCTGGTGTGGTCCTAGGTTCTAGCTCACTCCACAGCGTATCTGACTCAAATGGTCATAAGCAATCACTTTAGCTACTTTGTTTTATTTTCAGCCTTAGTGGTTTTTCTCTTGTATTGCTACAGTTTTTACTACTAGAAAAGAGCAAATGTAAGTGAAAAATATTTAGTTTTGGTTGAATACTAATTTACTCGCCCAGGCAATTTTCTTAACTTACGGAGCCAGCTTTGAGTAGATGTTTAAGATTCATGTGGCAACATTAGGATTACTTAAGTCACATGAATTCTGCTTCCGTAAGACAAAACTGGCCTCCACTTAAATATTCCGGAGGAAGTTACACCTTAGTAGGAACCGAATGATTTACACCCAGTTAGGTCTCATACAAAGGAGAATGATGAATGGGGACCCAAAGTAGAGCATCCATTAGACACAGAAAAACCAGACTCCATTGGGTACGTCATCCTGAGAGCATGACTCTGCCTCACCACACAGTGTAGCACTTACTCAGAAGATATCATTCTCCTGTCCTAACCCATGTTCACACCTTACGCCCCTGGCGGGTGCAGGGAGATTATGATTACAGCTGCACACCACACGACCAGCTAAACGAGGCTTCTCACATTTCACCTGATAGTTGTGGCACCTTGACCTCCTAAACCAACAATGTACGTCTTGTACCGTGGACCTCTGGGACCTTCTAGTGAAGAAGGAGGCTTAAAAGAAATCCCATACTAGCCCAGAAGTGAGAATAATATTTATTTAGGGGTAGACTCACAAGTCACAATCCTCTGCTGGGACGGAGAACAGCAACCGAATCCCACAGCCAGAAAAGAGGCTGGACGTGTGCTTTACA